TCCAGTCGGCTGCACACCTGGTGCCATCCTGGCCGTGGCTTGTCAGCTTACCAGATTCCTTGGAGGAACTGGACACCGAAGGACCACTGACTACAAGGGTGACTTGGTTTGTTCTTCGTCACTAGGTGTTGGCCCACAGACCCTTCAGGGTGGAGGCGCTCACCAGTGACGCGCCGGGGTTTACCGCTTGAAGCTACGGCGCGCCGAGCTTCCCTACCAATACCCACAGGGAATACCCACAGGGACTTAAGGTCTGGTCCTGAACAACATGAGTTGCTATGGTTTACGGTTTAGGGTTTAGGGTTTAGCGTTTTTTAGGGCTTAGGGTTTACATGGTTAGTCCCAAACCCTGTGAGTGTTTTGTACGATTCTCTTGATCCAGGACTCTGCTACGGGGGTGTTGGAATGATGTTCAGACTGCCCGTCACCATAGACTAGAGCCCGTGCAAGGGAGACAGCTTTCTGAGGCACACCTGCCGCCGACTCTGTGAAACTGATCGACGCCCGGCTCTAAACCTGCCTAGAGGATCCCCAAGCCCCCTGAACATCAGGGTTTGAAGATGTTTACTGTTTTAGGGTGTGGATTTGGGGACTGTGGCGACCGCAGCCCCTCTTCGAAAAGGGTATTGGGCTTTCAGGTTCACTAGGTTTGAAAGGCCCTGGAGGATTGCCCTGCGCCGTACCAACTCTAACCAGCAAAAAACCTTCGAAAGGATCAGCTCAAGTGCCTAGGGCTTCAGAGTTTGGGTTTTGTTTGCGGCCATGCGAGGTGCGACTAGAAGTATGCCTATTAGTTGAACTGGCAACTATGATAATTCAAGGAACCGCCAGTGTAATTTGCGATGGCGATGATGTGGTGGTGGTGATGGTCGTGGTCGTTGTCGTGGTCGTGGTGGTGGCCTTGCAGGAGGAGGAGTGTTACTGCTGTTGCTGCAGTAGAAATAACGACATGTGGCTTGCAATGCACCGCGTGTCAAGCTGAGGACAGATGTCCACGGGAGAACTGCTGGTTCAGGTTCTACGCTGCAGTGGGCATGCCGTACCAGAAAGGCGATGTTTTACACGGTGTTGGGGTTGTATTTCTGAGTCTAGACCAGCTAATTCTTAGTCGTGGCTTTGCCTGTTCAGGGAGTCAGTAGGCCCGCAGGAAGCGTGTGGGCATGCGCTTGCGCTGCATGTCCTGCGTACTGTAGAAGACTATTTTCGGAATGGTGGCATCAGGATTTACACACACCTCTCTGCTCATACCAATCGGGTTTGACATTGTCTGGATTCTGGATAGAGAGGCAACATACCTTGTTTCGGCTGACCGGTTCCGTTAAAACCCTAGCTGCTTAGTGCTTCACAACCAGGCGAACCCCGATCAGATTGACCATAGACCTTACAGTACTTATGATCGTTGCCTGGTAGTAGTATTGTTAGCACTGGCATACTTCTTCGTTTCCAAATGCCGACGGCTGCGGAGCCGCGTGAGTTTACCCCACAGCCAAAACCATACACAAACCTCACGTTTTGCAAATTCTGGAACCTCCCATCGAACCTCAGCAGCCCTTACAGCGACCCTTCAACAGATGGGATTCCAGCGAATCCCAAACCTTACATTCCGGAACACATGGACGCTGCAAATAATTAAGCCTTGTAGCAACTTGTGGAATTCTGCGCCCTTTGACGGCAAACCGGCGACTACCAGAAATCCGATAACTACGCCAATACAAGCTTTGAGAAAAAAAGTGAGTATACCAAGCGCGGAGTCCAGGAAACCCAGCACATAAGCCATTGCAAACCTGGAGAACAAGAACTGACCATAACCCAAATTCTTCTGGCAAGCGTTTGCCTGACCCCCATACATCCCTGAGCTCCTAAACCTTCAACCGCAAACCCTAATCCCTCAGCCAGAACCCTAACGCCTAAACCCTAAACCCTCAACCCCAAACTCTAAACCCTCAACCCCGAACCCGAAACCCCCAACTTGGCTTCCGACTGTGGCCTTCTTCTGGCGGTTTAGAGTTTAGGGTTAGCTAGGCCAGAGGCACAGTAGCTTCCCAGCTGTGGCCACAACCCACTTAGGGGTTTATAAGGAGTAGGGCTTAGGGTGCGCCCTGTGCAGATGGTTATCACACTGGTTAGGTTTCAGGGTTAGCGAACCTTGAATATAACCTAAACAGGACTTTCAGCACTACCTAACTCCGAAGCCAGACCGAACTTGAGTCGTTTGGCGTTCCGAGTTGCGAGACTCTGAGCTAACTTGAACAGGGACTACAACTCCTGTCCCCAAAACCCTAGAAACCCTAAACCCTCACAGATGGAGACTACAACTCCTGTCCTTGGCTGACGTCCAAGAACATGTGGAAAGCGGCTATGGGAGAGACTGGGTTCAAAGCGAGGTTTCCCCCTGTTCGCTGCCTAGTCGAAGCACTGTTGCAAGGCTGAGCATTCCCAGGGGTTTAGGGTTTCCGGGCTTTGGGGTTGCTTGGGTTTAGTGACGTGCTTCAGCTGCTTTCGTTTCAGGGTTTTGAAGGCTTTTCGGGCTTGGAGTTCAATTCGTGCGGATTGCATCTCTTTACCCTAAACCCTAAACTCCAAACCCTAAACCCTAAACCCTATCAACTCAGGACCGGGCCAATGTTATGCGAGAGATCCTGACTCAGTATGAGGCTCCAGCTATGGTTTTCAATCCCAAGCGCTGGTTCTGTAACTTGTGCATTAAATCCACCAGCAACTGCAGAACCCTAGACGACCACATATCTAAACCCTAAACCCTAAACCCTAATTCCATTTGGCGGTTTGAGGGTTTAGGAGCTCGGCTTGAGGTGTCAGGATTGCAGGACACGCAGAGTTTTGAGCCCACAATTGCGACTGAAGCTTCGGTAAATACATCGTGCTGTCAGTCCTCAAGTGGTTAGGGTTTAGGGTTTAGGGTTTCGGAACCGAAAGACTGGATGAGATCATGATGGTGCTCTGCTTCTGCTTCGCATCACTGCATTATGCTTTGATCTACGAAGCTTCACGAGCGCAAAGGAGCACAGACCTACAACCCGCACAGTACATGGCAATGGGCGAGGGAGAGACCTGCCACAAAGCACTGGAAGACTCAAATTAACACTATTTTGGAGGTTCCGTATTATAATTTTACTATAATAACCCCAAAACGCTATTCTGATTATTAAGGCCCCTATGGTAGGCTTTCGGACTTGTGGGTTAAGGGGTCGGGGATCGAAGTGTAGCGAACCGGTTTTCACAGCCCCGAAACTGCCGACAAAGTACAGGCTCTGGTCTCCCAGAACCAAAAACATTTACTGGACTACCACCGAATCTTCTGAAAGGCTCTGAAATTTAGAACGTTCAGGGCTTCAGGTTGACTCAAGGATTCAGTTTGAGGGGTTACATGGGGGATGAACAATGAGGATTTAGCTTAAGTTCGGTTTAAGCGTGTACATAAGCCTGTGAGAAACATCGTCAGAGATGCTTTCTCCCTAAACCCTAAACCCTGTCATCCCGACTTCTAGCAGTGTTGATCTTGTTGCTTTGGTGATGTCGGCGAGACCTTAAGGCATTTGCGTCTTCATGTGAGTGTATGGTGAAAGCATAGTGACACCATGCATGTCATGGAACATCGGTGCAGTAATAGTCAATGCCGAAGAGTGTATGCTGGTGAAGCCGAATTCCTAGCTGCCCAGATCGCGCCGATTTGTCCATATTGCCCTCAAGCTGGCGACTTTCCTGGGCATTTGCCGGCCCAAAAGCAACTTGAAGTGCTTAGGGGCTTAGCACGTAGAAGGTTTAGGATTCTCTTGCCCGCTAGGGAAGCCCAATCCACAGATATCCAAAGCCCGGAAGCCCATAAGTGCGCAAGCGCCTTGTCTGAGTTTGGGTGGCGAGGCTTTCCGTCGCAGGCTTCTTTTCGAGGTCCTTGCGTCCAGGGTCCCACGTGTTTCCTACATTGAGGGGTTCCTGTATTGGCTCTTGAGGGTTTGAGGTGTAAGGCCCATCTATATACCTGGATAGTATATGCACATGAACGCTCACAGCTCTGTAGGCTCCAACTTCTCCAGGCCCTAAAGCCTACAACCCAAAACCCTGAACCCCTAAACATTCAAGCTGTGTACATTAGGAATTCCAGCTTTTCGCGCTTTGGAGTCCAAGTCGGTTCCCCTGCTGTGCCCCTTGGGCCCTGGATTTGGTGTGTCCATATGGGACTTTCCAAAAATAGGGGGTACCGTATTTTGGGGTCCTTATAATAAGGATCCTATTATTTAGGGTACTATATTAGGGTCCCCTATTTTCGGAAACCCCCATATATTGGACCTGAGCGATATTGCAACGATGCAGTGGGAGGTGGGATGTCCCGGGCGGCCCTAAGCAGCGAAACGACGGATTGAGCCCGAGATGGGAGCAGAAATGATAGCTTACAAGCCTTTGAGTTGCAAGAACTGGGCGAGGAACACAGAATCTCTGACCTTGAGTCATCGTTCCTTTTGCGAGCCCATCGGCAGCATTAAAACTGATATTACGAGACCTCGCCTCGCGCGTCTCGAACTCCAAACTGCCTCAACCAGACTTAAGTTTGTTCAGCTAAGGGTTCTGCGCCCTACATTTTACTCCAATCGTCTTCCTCTCAGCACCTCACCCATGCCAACGGCTTAAGGCACTACCAGGCCCTGTGCAACGCCAGAGCCTGGGCATGCAATCCCAGAAGTTGTGGAGCTTGGTAGAACCGTCCGTCTCTAGTTCCCTTCCGACCATGAAGATTCAAGAGAGCAGAGAAGGCTTAGGGCGGTATTTCATCATTGTCAGGTGGGACTGTAGTCCATCAGAGAGAAACACTAGACACTAGACCCTAAACCCTAAACAGTGTGTGGGGGTTTGGGGTTATGGTTCCTGATTGATGCTCCATTCGGGTATGTGCTGGCTGGTTCTCGTCTCTTTTTCGAACATTCCCATGCTCAGGATCTTTGGCTGCATCGTCGCCGTTCTCTCTTGGTACGTAGCCCCTGAGTTGTCAAGGATGAAACTGTCAACCCTCGGGCCCCAAAGCTCCAAACCCTCCAGTCCCAACCACTCAAGAAAACCGTAAGTTGTGCACCCTGAACCCATGTTCCCTAAACCCCTGAAGCCGTAGAGCTTCAGAAGCCTCCTACAGTACCCTTATAGAATGCAATTCTCCGTTCTCGAGCCCTGACCCTGGACTCTGAGAACTGGTGCCGGGCAAGAAGATCATTGAAATCTCAAAAGAGTGCTACCAGACGTGGACTGTCCCAGGCGAGCGACGCACGTTAGCAGCTGCAGCGCTGTAGTATTGTCGTCGTCAGTAGCAGCAGTGGTGGTGGTAGTAGTAGCAATCGTAGTAGAAGCAGTAGTAGTGGTAGTAGTAGCGATCATAGTAGAAGCAGTAGTATTGGTAGTAGTAGAAGTCGTAGTAGAAGCAGTAGTAGAAGTAGAAGTAGCAGTAGACGTAGAAGTAGCAGTAGTCATAGTAGTAGTAGCAGCAGCAGTAGCAATAGTAGCAGTAGTAGTAGTAGTAGTAGTAGTAGCAGTAGTAGGCATAGGAGCATAGGAGTAGTATAGCAGCAGCAGCGGCAGCTGCGGTAGTGGTATGTAGATGTTGTGGCTTCAGCAGCCGGTTGGTGATTACAGGCTGTTTTCCAACTCAAGAATTTTTCTCGCCAAATCTCCACCTCCATATTCTCAAGAATGCTGTACTCAGACACCAGCAATCGAAACCCCGAGCCCCCAACCCTGAGCCACAGCTATCCAGACACTGTAAGTCCCGGCCGAAGCAACTTAGCATTCATGATTGATGTGTAGTAGTGCTGTTAGCAGGCGGAATTCTGCGGTTCAACCACATCAGTGGCGAAATCGCTGCCTGCCGCGGTCGCTTGGTTCAGGCATGTGGGTTTAGCCTTGGTGATTTGGGCGCTCTGAAGCTGCCACTAATCCTCCGTTTCAAAGTTTCGAATCTGTCTACATACTAAGAATCACTAGCCCTTGTCCTTAAGTTCGCCGATTTTCGAAGCATGGTGTACGGAGCCGAGGCGTCCCGCCACCGACGACGCAGAGAGCATTGGCGCTGGAGGGTCAGCACCTGCAGCAGGCATGGGGCGGCAGGAGCCGAGACAAGCCAAACCTCTTTCAATTAAGGAAGACACCCCACATCGCGACAAACATCAACTATCCTTAAGCTACATTCCTGAGTTCAGAGGTTTGGGAGTCACTGGGAAGGGCGGGAACTGGCGGATGTCAAAGATGTGGAAGGTTTTGATCGTTGAGCTTGCACCTAGAAGTATCACTGCTGAGCCCAACGACCCCATGTGATGGAGCTACTGGACCGAGAGATAAGACGTGCTTCCGTGGTGCTATGGCGGCAACAGAACGCATGGCATAGCAACAATTTGTAGCTCTCATGCCTCCATGCCATAGGGGCAGCAGTGGCTGTGGCAGATTTGCGAAGCATATCCTCGCACTCAAGCGTTAAATCCGGGATGCTACATGAAGCACTAAACACTACACACGAAATTCCTTCAAGGTCTCTGCTAACACCGGAACACCAGCCTGTCGAACACCACAGCCACAAATCCCAAAGCCACAAGCGCCACAACCACAACCCGCAAACAAAAAACAAAAAGCAAGCCCCAAACTCCTAAACGCCCAAATGCCCCATAACCCTCAGCAAGAGCCTCCAACACGGGCCTCAACCTCCTCTAAAGTTAAAGGTAAGCACCGCACCCCAAGCATAACAAAACCCCATTTAAACCCCAGTACACCTTTTACCCACTGTTTAGCATTTTTTGGCAGGATGAAGAAAGGGATTGAGAAACCAAATGCACGAAACTCCAAACTCTGGACCCTATGGCAGTACCAACACATGGCGCGGAGGGGCAGCCAACAAAGGCGCCGCAAGGCTGCTTCATCCCTGCTGCGAAAAAGCGAGGGCCGCGTTCCACACCCGAAATCCTTGAACCTGAGGACGACTGCCGAACCACGGCTAAGCTCTCAGCCAGATTGGCTTTGCGATTTATTTAATAAGGGCTTATAGGCTTCAGCGAACAGGTACGGATCTGTACAGGCTTAGGACTAGGACCTTAGTACAGGGTTTGGGGTCGGGGATGGTTGGGGTGAACTTGGCGCCGTCAGGCAGCCAAAGAAAATCGGCGCCGCAAGGCCGCCGGGCCCAACAATCCACTATTGCCATCCATAACGATGGCGGAGATGGGTTGTCGATGATTTTGAAAGGAAGAGCAGTCGTATGTTGCTCTGCGTCGGCCGTCGACGGCCTTGCTGCTGACGACCCGGCTTGAGAAGCGATGGCTACACACAGTTTGATTGTAGTGCTCCGGTTGTCAATGACACGGCTTGGGAACCAACGGCCGCTCATTTTCAAGATGACGAAAATTACCAGTGGACGAAAGAGAGTCGCAACCGAGTGCGAGATTGGTCGCCCGGGACAGCACAATCTGCATCGTGGCACATGCAGTCATCCACGATGGACAGCTCTGGCTTTTGCGGAGCACGGCCGAGCGGGTCGGCTGCTTGGTGGGAACGGACGTCCGCGGTTCTGTCTGTAGTCGGGATTGTTGAGTGGAGGCCCGGTTCTCGCAAGGACTGCTGCGTTTCTCCGCGAGCAGCAGGGCGGGCCCGGGCAGTAGCTAGTAGTGGCGTGTAGGCGGTGGATGGTGCCGAACCCCGAACGCGATCCCGTCGCACGACCCGGCTCGGGAAGGCGGCTTCCGGAGACTGTGACCCGAAACCCCAAAATTTTTGCAACCCGTGAAATCCCCGAATGGAGAAACCTCACAAAGCCTTTTAAGCCTCTCTTCTAGAAGCCCTCAACCGCAAACCCCAACATCACCACCGAAACCTAGAAACCTTAAACTCGAAATTCTACCGAACCCTCACAATCCCCCGGCCAAAGCTTCTAGAAACCCTGAGACACTTCCTTCTTTTGACAGCGGAGGCGCTTCCTGTCTTCACAAGTTGGGTTCTTCTCGTTTAACGTTTGAGGGTCCTTGCATAAGCATTCTTTATCAATTTATAAAGTATTTCATGATCCCATCAACCTTCTAAAATTCTCTTAACCTCACTTCTAGAAGCCCGAAGGCTTCAGCAGCTAGAAAGTCTAAGCTCTAGATTTTGCAGAACCCTCGCAATCCCCCTTCTTAGAACTTTTTTGAGTCACTTCCTTACTTGGGCAACGGAGGCGCTGCCTGCATTTCCCGCTGCCGGAAACCAAGCGGCCGCGCGGCTCCTACGAAGGGTTGTGGGTTTAGTTGTGTTCTCCTATAAGGGGATTACTTTCGGGTTCTATGAGGGCTCTATACAACTTCAACGGGGGAGGGTCTTAGACCTTAATCAGATCTTCTTCGCGAATGAGGTATCTTGTGGGGGAGGTTTGTTCTGTCTTCGGTGGGCGGTTCCTTGGTAATTCAAAATCATTCTCTTGAATGCACACTACTGATGCACAATCATTCAGAATCATTCTAGAAAATCTAGACAGCTCGAAGTATTTCCAATTCATTCCGAATCATTCCAAACATTTCAAAAAGTAACACCCCAACATTCGACTTATGTGTGTGAGAACACTTTTGCAACCTCTAGGTGTGCATGTTTGCATATCGGAGCAAGGGTTTGACGAGCATCTGGCTGGTAACAGTCTATGTTGTCGTTCATGACGTGAAGGTTTATCATGGCTTTGAGTTTGGGACACTGATGGTTCATGGCCACAACCGAGGTGCTTGGGGAAAACAGGCAGCATTTCTTTACGCAACGAAGGTGGGGAAAACACACACACACACCATCCAGATTTGAGGTGTTGTATTTCTTAGTATCTTTTGATGTTTTGATGTTTTAGTTCTTTGGAAATTTATGAACTTTTCGAAACGCATGTTTTCGCATGTAGTGGAAGCTTTTTGGAATTTTGACGGCTCATTTTTTTCTCGGTGTCCTCCAGTCTCGACACAATGTTTGTTTTCTCACTCCCTGTGACTGGTGTTTGTTTTTCTTTGGGGCCACCACGCTTGCTTAGCGGTTTTTGGGCTATTGCTTTCCTTTCCTATAGAGACCTCCTGAAACCTGACAAAGCCACTAACAATCCATAGGGACAAGGAGCCTGTTTTTAAACAACCCGTAGCGCTCTAGAAGCCTTGCGATTTTTTTCTTGGAGAGACCTGCCAGAACGCTTACGTAGAACCACGGTGCTACAGCCCTCAATTGTGAAACCCCGAAGCCCCCCCAGAACCCGTTGTAACCCTATAAACTCTGAGCCCTACAGAACCCTCGCAACCCCCTTGTTAGAAGTTTCTAGCAACCTTGAAGCCCTACCTTGCTTGGGCAGAGGTGCCCCCAGAGTATCCGACTGCCGCAAATCCGGCGGTGTCTCGGCTCTTTTCAGGGTTTTGGTAACATAGAGGCCTTACTAATTACCTATACTCTGTTCGGGAGTTCCTTGTTACTCTACTATAAAGGGCCCCAAAACCCTATTCTAATTGCTAAGGCCCCTACATTATTTATGTTGGGGCTTGTTGTGCTCGATGCGGTTTCTGCAAGGGTGGAGTTCAGTTTGGCTTAGGGGTTTTGTCTGAGCATTTGACCAAAGGTTTTTTGGTGATTCCGAAATGGATTCCTGTACGGCTTACATGTCTATGGGAGTAGAGTGGGGTTGAAGGCTTTGGGGGTGGCTGTCAGGTTTTGGATAATACACGAAGGTTTTGTTTTCTGGTTTGGGCCTTCGTAGGTCTATGGGCCTGGGTTAAGTTGAGGCTTTCTGCTGTGTTGGTGTAGTTTATTGTGTGCTTTAGTGGTGCTTGTTCCTTTGGATCCCGTTGCATTGACCCACAGTTTAAACCATTTACCCAAACCCCCAACATCACACACCCACACACCCAATCGCTCACAGACAGAATCCAATGCCCATCGCAGTCCCGAAGCCCGAAACTCCGAAACCCTCAGCATGAATCGTCGTCGAGTCAAACAAAAATCCTGGAAGCCTTGAGCCTACTACATTACTAAGCCCCTCATGATGCTATAAACCTTCTTGAACCCTCTGAACCTCCTTTCTCTGCACCTACAAGCCGCAAACCCTACAACTCGCAGAAATGAAATCCGGTAAACCCTAAACTCTGAACGCTACGGAACCCTGTATAGACTGTCTTAGACCCTCCAAATTTTCGGGCAGCGGAGGTGTCCCCAGAGTATCCGATTGCCGGAAATCCAGCGGTGTCTCGGCTCCTCAAAAATGGTTTTGTCTTTCTCTATCAGGCTTCTATAAGGGTTTTTTGCCGTTTGCCCTGGAGTTCAGTTTAAGAGCTACGTTAACGGGTTCTCTGGGGTTTTGAAAGGGTTGTTCGGGTATTCCTAAAACGACTCCTGTACGGTTTAGGCTGATTTAGGTTGGTTGAGGAGGTTTACAATTTGTACGGTTTGAGGGAGTTTTTTTGGTTTACGGGGCTTAGAAAGTGTATAGGGTTAGTTGAGGCTTTCTTCTGCGTTGGTGTAGTTTGGTGGTGGTACCCAAGTGTGTTTGTCACTTTGTGCTGCGTTGTTTGGATCCAGGGTCTATAAGCCCTGTACCCGCAGACCCAGACCCCAGACCCACACACCGAATCGCACCCCACTGGCGGAATGAATGCCCTAGAGCTCGCGGCGAAGCCCGAAACCCTGAACCCGTGAACCTCAAGCCCGTTTAAAGCGCTACAAATCCCTTACACCCGTTCTATTTAGAATCTTCTAAGCATCTTAGAGGCACGGAAAAACTTGAAAACCCCCATTAGGGAGCCTGTTTGTCAAGAACCCCGAGAAGCCCTGAACCTGCCCAAGCCTTGATGATCCCAATCTTCTTCGAACCTTCTGAACCTCCTTTCTAGAATCCCGCAAGCCTCAAACCCTCCCCAGAATCTCTATGAACCTGCAATTCGGAACCCTGCAGAACCCTTCCAGCCTCCTGCAAACAGTCTTGCGAACCCAGAAACCCTCCAGTTTTTGGGCAGCGGAGGTGCCCCAAGAGTATCCGACTGCCGGAGATCCAGCGGTGTCTCTGCTCCTCAAAAGTTTTTGGTGTTTATGTTATAGTGTTTCTGGGACAGATTGCTTTAGCGTTCCATGTGAGTTCAGCAATTAAGCTGACTTCAGTTTGTGGGTGCAGGTGCTCCAGAAGGGCTCTTGGGGTTTGAGAACTCAAGACTCTTGAGGATTGACGGCTGGGGGGGGCTGGGCGACTTTCGGTCAGGCGTTATATGGCCTGAAGGCATTTCTGGTTTACAGGACTTAGAATGCTTAGAAGGTTGAGGCATTCATTTGCGTTGGTGCAGTTGTTGTGTTTTGGGTTTAGTTGTGAAACCCAAACCCACACACCGAATCACTCCGACACAACGCACTTGAGTTCAGAATCCCAAATTCTTATGTAAATCCTGGGCACCGCAACCCCGGCTGTCATGTCCGAGAGTGAGCGCTGCCTACCCTTTTGAACCAGTTGTCGGACACTTTTTTTCATTGCCATCATGAAGAAAGGCTGGGGAAGCGACTGTCGTGGGCGCAGCTGATCTCCTGTATTTTGCGCTTCTGCAGGCAGTTCTGCCATGTTGATTTACGTCGGCCGTCGACGACCCGGCTTGGGAAGCGACGGTCGCGGGCGTGTGCGATTGTGTGTGTGTGTTGTATCCATTCCAGGATGGCGCGCGCGTGATACAAGGTTTTGTTTTTGTTGCGAGAACTGTGTCCTCTTAAAGGTCGATGCATCTTGACCAACAGACATTTGATCATGAGTCTCTATTTCGAACATAAAGCTCATTTGTTTACATGATTCACATGAACTTCACAGTGAAAGTGGTTTCTCCGCAAAGTTGAAACCAGACTTCACTTCATAGTTGAAACTTGCTTGCGAAGTTAATTTGCCGAAACACAACTGCTACTGAGTTTGCTTCCAACCTGCATCGGTGCCCGGCCGAAACTCCTACACAATTTCCGGTGACATGAAAGTGCAATGCGCCGTATACTTGTGTACACATTTAAGCTGCTGCTTGTCTATATATGTACATATATATATATATATATGGCTGCGTGCGCGTTGTGTTTGTATTTGTGTTGTGCGTGCGTATGTTTCTATTTCTGGTGACAAAAATTCCAGAGTGAAGCAGTTTCAGAAGCCGTTTAAAGGAAGTTCCGCCCAAGCTTTTACTAACAGTTACTCCCGAGTTAGCTTCAAAGTGAAAGCTTGCCGTTTTCACTTCAATTATGCCGCAGTTGACTATATTCTATGCCTTATTTTTCACTGTGGAATTTAAAATGAAGTTAAAATCACCCGATGTTATAACTTTTTCCAGCCCTTTTGACTTAGCTAGTCTATCCCGCTTGGAAAGTAGCAGCCGTGGGTTTCTCGGCGACCTGGTTTGGTGCAAGGTCAGATAACGATCTTATGTGAAACTCTATATGTGGGCCTACGGGCGTGCTTTTTGGATGCCTGACGGAGTTTTCTGGAAAAGCTGGTTCAAGCAGTCCTTTGCTAGTCGCGTGAAGATTCTCCAAGAGCCGCCTGCAACATTCAGGGGTGTGAGCCAGCATGGCTATAAGTACTTACTTTTCTTTGCGCTTTTTTATCAAATAACATACCGTCCTTTTCTTGCCCAAAACCCTGAGCCCCAAACAATCCCTAAACCCTGATCCTTTCAGCGCTTAAGGTTTACATCTTAGGCTTGAAGACCTTCAGGGGCCGGGCCTGGTTGGAGCGAACTCCTCAGAATTTTCTGGGGTTTTAGTTTGTAGCTCAGCTTTCCCAAGCCAGGGCTCCAGTTACCTGAATAGTAGGTTACTGGGGTACATAGGGCTGGTAACCTACTACGTAGATACCTGGAGCCCTTGGGTTTAATAGGGTTGGATGTTTCAATATTTAGAGTCCAGGGCTTTGGCTTCACACGTTTGGGTTTAGTACCGGGTTTGGGGTTCCGGGTTGTTTAGGGTTTAAGCCAGGGTTAAGGGTTGAAGATTGATCAGCTTCATACCTTAAGAACCCAAAACCCACCTTTTTTTTTATTATAAGCCCTAACATGGGATTTATAGGGACCC